AGAAGAAGATAAATTGTCTTATCGCCGATCCCCCGTTACATTGGTGTTTTGTAAACGTTTTAAATATTTACATGCGAAATAAATAATCAATAAAATAGTATATAATTTTTTATTTTATTTAGGTGCCCAAGAAGTCCTTACGGACTTATCACAGAGGACCGCAGATATACACAAAAACTTTCAATAGAAACTTTAAACAACAATATTTCAACGGAATAATTGAACACGGTTTGATTCTAAGGGTGTTAGGTTGAAATTCAAAAGATATGAGATTTTTCTTCAGATTTTATTATTATGTATAGGTGCAAGCTAGAATGTGTTGAAAATAAAATCCTAAGCATTTCTTTTTAGTCCAAAATTGATACTTTCTAAAATCCTCAAAATAGTGTTTAAAGTCTTTTTCATTTTTACTATTTTAGCTATCTCTTGTTATAAATATTATAGATACCCACATGAAATTTCTTTTTCTTTGTCTTTAAAATGTGGTACTTCACTTAATATATAAAAATACCTTTAATAGTTTCAATAAGCTTTTAAAGGAGTTGATGACTTATTTAGAAATATTAACTGTCAAAATTTGTATAATTATAATAGCTTTAAAACTTTATAACAACTTTTATTTTATAACATTTTTTTTTGTTAATAAAAAATGTAGTATTATTTTAAAAACCTAAATTGCATGTCTAATGGCTCATCTTTCAAGAAAAAAAATCATAACGAATCCAGAGATTCAATTTTTTTATTGCAGCAACAAAACGGACAACTATTCTCTTCGTAGTACGCTAGGATTGGTGACATTAGTTCAAGACTATGTACACAAAGGATTCAATTATGATATGAATGCATTTACCACAAACTTTTTGGCTGTTGCAAAAATGCTTTCTATGCCAAAAAGGTTATTAAATTTTATAAATATTTTATTAATTTATTAAATTTTTTCTAAAATATTTTACTAAAAAATACAAATATTTTGTTTAGAGCAAGGAAAGCTTATGAATATGATTGAAGAGGTTTGGAAAAGTGGAAGAGAATAACATATAGAGATGGGTTACTCCAAATAAAAATCAATGCTTAGGTTCAGTTTGTTGTATGGCATCAGACCACAAGCCCAACCAAAAGATTTTTAATTTTAGAGATTGTACCATTGAGTCAAATGAAAATTTCTCCTTGGAAAGGTTAAACTTATTCTTTTATTATACTTACTATACTTAATATAGATTGTTTTCAACTATTTGGAAAGTGTGTTAAGCACCCATGCACCACAAACATCTGCTGTTCGAAATGACAAGAATCTTATTCTTGTCATTTCGAACAATGTCAGAGCAAATAACCTCAACTGTTCTAAAGTTTTTAGAAAAGGCTGAAAACTTGTTACAATTATCCCCTGGTAGAATTTTATTTATTAGTTTATTTATTTATAATGACTTGCTGCAATATCCTATTTCCTGGAGTTGAGGAGTTCTATAGGTAACTAAAACTCAAGTTATGAGCTTGAGATTTAGTTACCTATAGAACTAAAACTCAAGCTCCAAACAAATAAAGTAGTCTCTACTGATACAATATTTGATATCGAGATTTAATTATGGATAATTAAAAGCATAAATTTTTTTATACATTTTCAGGCAGATCAATTATGATCTGCCTGAAAATGTTGTTTGCGATATTCTTTGAGATTTACGAAAAGATCTTGGTTGTCTTGTTTTTTAAACATTTTATAATATAATTTAAACAGTAGTATATTAGTTTATTTATTTTCAAAAAATTTTTAATAGTTAATATAAATCATATTGTTTACAATACGGGATTTTACAAGGAGGTGTTGAAAAAATTTAATTGGTGAGTTTATGAAGCGTCTGTGAAACATTTCTCATTCTTTAGAAAAGTTTTACAGTTACAAAATTTTACTTTTTTAAATGAAAAGGAAGATGAACTTGAAAACTCAGTTAGAATAGCAAAGTAGAAATGAGAAAAACTCAGGGTTGAACAAAGCAATAGTTCTGGCTTCGCATGTAATGTCAAGGAGAATAACTATTTACTTGGAATGCTTATTAAATAAATTAATCTAAATCAGCTCAAATTTTTTGTGACTTCTGACCTAAACCTCATAAAAGTACTTCTCGTCAAATCAGTAAGAGATTTTGCCTAATTTTATTAATTTTTCACAAGTATCTATTAAAACATTAGATCTAAGAATAACAAAACAATTTATCATAGAATGTTATGCCCATAAATGCCATGTTTGCTTAAGGAAGATCCCAGAAAATATATTTTTTTGATACTATCGGTTTTTTAGAACTTCAAATGTATGAACAAAATTTATTGACATTCTTATTGTCAATCAAGGCCTGAAATCCTTTTTCAACAAAAATAGATTAATGTGGCATGGGTATAATGGTGATGGTTTGGATGGACCTAACTGTGGTAAAGTTCTAAAACTATTAGATGAAATAAATAGTTAGAATACTATTGTAAAGATGTGTATCACAAAACGTTTATACTTGGATGGATGTTCCATATTATTAAATATCTCCTTGTAGATTTTCTTAATAAAAATCAGAAACCTATTGGATTTTTTTCAGAGCAAACATCCGAGGCTGTACATAAAAGTTTAAAATGGCTATGCCATTGCAGAGACTAACAGAAACCACGGATTAAAGTTAAAAAAAGCGTTTTCCCCTACTGCTCAATAAAAATTAAAACTAATTAAATACATGCATGTTTTAACTTATTTATATAATATATATTTCATTTGAAAAAATTATGCATTTTATTTTGCTTTTAAAGCTGTAATATATAGAACAGACCCAAAAAAAATAATTCTAGTAGCACGTTAGCCAAAAAATTATCAAATTATTATAGATATTATTATATATTAAATTAAGCACGTTTTAAAGAAAAACACAATGGATGATCATGTAGGTTTTTATGATATTTAAAAAAAGAGATAGCTAAAATAATAAAGAGTAAAATGTTTTTTAAACACTATTCTCTAGAATTGGGAAAATATCAAGTTTGTACTAATAAGGAACGCTTAGGGTTTTATTTTGAACACACATAAAAGGACATAAACACACATGAATATATACAAATATTAATAGAATATGAAAAAGGACTTTCATATAAATATTAATAGAATATGAAAAAGGACTTACATATACATATTAATAGAATATGAAAAAGGACTTACATATAAAAATTTATAGAATATGAAAAAGGACTTACATATAAATATTTATAGAATATCATAAAGGACTTACATATAAATAATAATAGAATATGAAAAAGGACTTACATATAAATATTAATAGAATTTGAAAAAAACCCTCGTGTTTTATTATAAATAATGAAATATAACTAAATATTTATTACTAATTATTTATTATTAACGAAAGCACGACAAAAACAAAACAAAATTAAAAAGTTAAAGAAATAAAATTATTAAATTAAAAAGATTTAAACTGACCAAACAAACAATAAAATAATTTCTTAGACTTTTATGTTGATAATAGTATATCACTACCCAGTGGGCATTTCGACGTCGAACGAACGTCGAGCGACGTCGGATCTCGACGTCGGATCAACGTTGGGTTTACGTTGGAAATGGAAATGTTATTTGACGTCGGATAAACTGACATCGCGAGACGTCGGCATTCCGATGTAAATCCAACGTGTTTTTTGAAAACTAAAAAACGTTGTCTTAGGCAGGAATCGATCCTCGGTCTACTAATTTCTAAATCCTACGCGCTTACCACTACACCACAGCGACATATTAATTATCAGTTTATTTAGTAATTAATACTTGTAGCTATTTGGTAATTATTACTTTGATAAGAAATAATTTTGTTTAAATATTATATAAATATTAAAACGAATAGTTATATATTATAAAAAATGTATATTCGAAAATGTTAATAGTTAAAAAACTATGCTAGTGCATCATACAAAACTTCATGATGTTTTATCAACCATTATTCAAACTTCTTTCCATTAATAAAAAACACGCTTAGTTCACATATTTATTGAAGAGCGCAATCGCACACATATTGTTGGGTTTGGATTAAATTTTCATCAGCG